ATCTCGCGGAAATAGCGCTCCAACTCCGGGCACATATCCATGCAAGTTCCACGAATGGTTGCTGCACGTGGATCTAGGGCATCCTCTGACATGCTTGAATCTAGAGGACCAAGTTCGAAAGGTTGAAATGCAACCTGGGATGGTCTTTGTTGGCGCTGCATCTGATAATGGGCTTGTAATATGGACAGACGCTCTTCCACAGTGGAACCGAACAGACTTTTCAGAGGACCGATTGCAGGCGGGGGAACTACTTCGCGCTCTCTAGAAGAGTCGAGACGGACAGCAGTACTTCCCGTTTTCCCGGAACTTTCGATGGTCTTCAGAAACTAAAACCAGAGTAACAAACATCAGTTATGGAAAATTAACCGAATTCAACTTGTGATTCTCTAGCTAGCGACCTAGCACCTACTAGTTAACCGAATAGACCTCTGTGGAATGAGCGTTCAATTAGTACAGTCCTCATAGCCCGTACACAGTGACAAGGATTGTGCTGACAGCGATTCCTCTCCATCGCATTACAGGGTTATAGACTAATGGATAGTTAATAAATAAAACGTGTATCTCATGATTTCCATACGACTCAATGGAAGCTGAGAAGTATCAGTGAGTTGGGGTGATCAGCCTTCACTCGCCAGTGCATAAAAGCTTTTAAAATGATTCACCTCGTTTCCATGGGCTTGAACACTTGATGCCAGGTTATACGCGTATGTATTGTCTGTTCACATCTGCTGTCAACCCACCTTTTGGCATATTCTTGTGTATTACGTTTCAAGTCTAAGGAGACTGAAACGAGGTCTCGCGAGGTATGCTCGCTTTGATATAACTTTTTCATACCAAGTTCCTCATTTTCAGCTTGTCAACTCAAATTCTGACCAGATTTTATGATGGAAACAGCCTCGATAACACTATTTGTTGCAGGAGGATGAAAATCCAACGGTAGCAGCCCCTTCCCACTTTCAGCTTTCCACAGCTACAAAAATGTATCCCCAACTACCAAGTGCAGTGTACCTACCCTCGAACCAAACGATGAAGGTAGAGGGTTTATTGGGATAGGCTGTAACTCACGGTTTTCGACGCTTCCTATAGCATCCGTCGTTCTAGAAGGAACATTTACAATCGGCCCCATAGCAGTCATTGTACAGGAGACCAGCCATAAGAGCAGTCGCCCCATTCTCAACAGCAGATCGAAGATAGGAGTAATTCTGGAAGGAGCATAGCAAGTTTATCACTAACAACGGATTAATTCTCCTGTCTTCTTAAGCCTAAATTCCCCACTCGTAAAGGTAAGTTGCTGAGAGGCTTGGTATCTTTGCTATAATTGCTCGTTTCCAGCAATGGGCATTTTAATATAAAACCAGCATTGTGGTTGACGAATTTATCAATGAGGTCAGGGTCATGTGGCTTGTACACGGGTTCATTTTGGTGCTTATGTCATCCCAGGCATCAATAAATTACATGCGATGCACAAGTAAATAAAACTAATACACTATACAATACAACACATGTTGGAACAAACCTCTTCTCTGGGAAAATTTGGCTGTATCGGACTGCGTTTGCGTTTCGATGCTGACTGCAAAGGTTGCCCTGCGCCGGTACTGGGGCCAGTGTTGCTCCGCGAACGACACTGGGCCATGGTTAGAAGAACAGACGTGGGCAATGTTTCCCCGTTGGCAACAGTGTCATGACCATGACGTTTGGCACGCTGCGCAGCGGTCTTCCAAAAACAAAGAAAGTAACAAAAGACCAACGGCAGTCTTTGGAACTCATTTTCCCGCAAAAAGAAATGGCAATGAGTGGATATTTATTCCTCCTATGACCTGTGAAGTTGATGTGATCAGGTGATGTGCAAGAAATCCAGAATGCAGTTGAAGTTATGGTCGATGCAGAAGTTGGAACGATACAGCGTTTAACAATGGACGCTTAAGCACACCCCGGATCAACCAATTTCAAGCAGTTACATTAACCATAAACATGTAATATATGCGCTGCGGCAGAAGCCGTTACTAAGGATTTGACAAAATGATGCAGAGAAGGCATTTTTCGAAAAGAAGCGGCTATATAGTTTTTTAGGACTTGGGATTACACAGCAGACTGTTGACAACCGAATACAACTACGGACGTTAAAGAGAAGCATACGGCTATGTTAGTTAGCTCACTGCACATTGCAACATGCCTATGAAAAGAGCAAGAAAATTTAACGTATTCTATGAGCTCATTCAAAAGGGTGAGTGCAGAAAAATGGCCCCACGAACTAACCGTGATTTGAGTCAAAAAGTTTGGTGCGAATAAGAATTGGCTGTTGGATTAAAAAGACGGCGCAAAATTTCGTGATCGACCGCGTGGAATGAATGTTGCTGATAACAATGGTCGGCTTTCGTTTCTTCAGAATATTTCTTCCACAGTCGGTACTATCAAACTGAGGTTATACGGAGAAACAGGACGAATGTTCCAAAAACGCCAGCAGCGTTCTTATTCAGTCTGCCGGACGAAAAGTTAAACCTATCAGTCATTGGTAAAGACATGCAGTTTCGTCAGCACTGTTCAGAGTGCAGGTGAATTGGGAGACGACTGTAGTAGTCAAATAATTGACAGTTATTTCAGAGCAAAACGTACGGTGGTTCCGAGTAACTATAAAATTTTGGAACCGTAACGACTAATATAGAGCAGATAATCCTTTCACCAAAGATCACATCGAAACAGTGACGAACGGAATTAAGAAGTTCAGCTCAGGCAGATCATGCTTAATGCATGCTCAAACTTGTAATCGGGTGCGCTTTACGCCTGTCGAATCGTCTTTATCAATGTGAGTATCCAAACGATTCAAATATAGAAGGACACTGAGATGTCAACAGCTCAGACTAGTCTTAAGTTATGTGTGCTACTGACCGTGCATCTGATCAGCTCACTAAACGAGATGGTGGAGTCAAATCCATCACCAGAGGCCAGTGTATATATGTATGTGTATGTATAACTTAACATATAAAAGAACCTCTCTAACTGCCAACGTCTGAAATTCAATGCCTTGTACGTTCTTCTACTGGAGTTGATACAGCAAACTCTCCAAAGTCGGTAATCTCCGGCGGCCAGATGTTCTAAATTCCATTCACTAGTACGCCTTCCGAATCTATGTATATATATATNTCATTCAACTTCGATGGTTGGCTGAACAGAGGTATCGACTCAAAGCCAAAGTAAACTGTCTCTTCATCAGTCAGTCTGCGACTACTGTGAGCGACTTTAAGGTGTTCTTGTTGTTTAAGGAGTGGAAGTGAACTTCGGTTTTCAACTGAATCCTATTGCCTCGACAAACAGTGACAATCTGAAGTAAACGGAAGCTAAGTGACAGTAACCGACCAGGTGCCTGTCAACTTTAACCACCGACCTCCCAAGAGACATGCTTTTCGTGTAAAACTACATTCATTCTGCAGTAGCACTCATTAGGTATCTAGTTGCCACGATAATGGAAAGAGGCACAAGGGCTTGGATACTGCCAAGTTGCCCAAACCTAGAAAGAAGCTACTCAGATGCTGCAGTTGAGTTCGAACCACAGACCTATATATATATATATATATATATATATATATAGCAAGATCCAGTGGGATGGTCACAAGTTGCTTTCCAAAAGAAAATAACCCAAAATCGATCTTTATTCGGACAGTCCAAATTTCAAAAGGTAGTTAACATAAGAAGCATATCCTCATCATTTTAAAGAGGGGGGGGGACAACCAACAGAAGACACTAGTATTCTGGACCTTGGTTTCGAATTGGTGATAAAAGCAAATTTGGAGGCAGGACTTACGACGGTTTCAAAAGCGACGTAGGCCGCATCAAGCGTTGGCTGACACAACACCCGGGTCACTGTGCCGAATCTTTCAAAATACTGTTGTAGCCAACTCTTTCGATTGAAACCAATAGGAAGTCGGGATAACTTAATCGCTGGCCAGTGGGTTGGAGACCGATTGGACGGTTGGGGGGACAATGTCTCCGAAGATGGAGCATCAATATCGAGTGGGTGACCAGGAGGAGCTAAATAAATGGAATAACAGCAATGGTTTTTAAAAAGAAGCAACAAAGGCGAGCCAAACGAGCTCGGCAGCCAAGTTCTCATAGTATGAACTGCTATTACCACCGGCGAAAATAGCATAAAAAGTACACTGAAATCAATCTGAATGTTCTACGATACACAAAAGTGGTGTATATTCGAAGGAAGACTACCTTTGCATGGTGCAAAATATCAGAGCAACAAAGGGTCACTATGACGTCGACAAGTTAACTTCACTGAAACAAACTTCATTGTGTCATGTTCGGGCAAAAACACAGGAACTAGGAATGGTGAACCAAATAAAGGGCGGTTGGATTCTGGACGACAGCATGAGATACGCACTACATGCTGGTACTATGCAAACATGTGGCTCTATACGCGGGTTGAAACAGTCTGGCTGAGGTCCTCCTTCAGGAATTGTGTGAAGGGCCGGCTAACCCAAAGAAAACAAAACCCCAAAAAACAAACGACGAAGAGGAATTCCACTGAAGCATAAACTCACTTTCACTGGTGAGAATGGAAGTCTGCTTGGGACTGGGGCCGACAGTTAATCCAAACAATCCGGTAGATTGGGAGGTGGAGCCGGAAAACAGTACCCCAGTTTTGTCAGATGACACTGTATCAGTCGCACGAAACAGGCCAGCATTCGAGGTCGATTTGATACCGGCAAAGAGATTGTGTTCAGTTTGATTATCCAAACCAAACATTCGGAGTCCTTTGAAAGACGTCCGTTTCAAGGAACCTGCAGTACATAGAAACACGGTGTATTCAGTGCAAGAAGGTAGACAGGATAAAAATTAGTGAACGGAATGTTTGTGAGGGGATAACGAGACGAAGGTGCCGTATAGTGCCCGAAGCAAATAAATGGTAAGAAAGACCACGCGATATCCTGCCCATGAGTTGATCATCTGTGAACTCCAAGGTAAAGGCGGGACAAGTATACGGACCGTGACGAATGTAAAAGCAAACCAATTCCGGAATATGGAGTTTAATGGCAGCCTTGCTAATCTGCCGTCACGAGACTGGGCCTTACCGTGGTGTGCGCACCTAATCGACAATTTGAGTAATACTGGGGACGTCCCCGCGACACTCAGTCTCTCAGACAAGGTTGGTCCATGGGTAGAGGTCTGACGAACAGTCTCCTGGTCCTCCAGGTTGGGGTTGGAACATGTGGCGACTTGTTCAGTAAAAATGATAATGCATTTCCCGCCAAACACCGCTGTCTTGCGGTTAGGCTTTTGAGCCAAAGACTTTGGTTGAGGACTCCAATCGTCTTCCTGTCTAGGTGTGGGCGTCATGGCAGTATCCCAGCCCACTGCACACATACAAATAAACTCACCATCATCATCAAAGACAGCAACATCAGTGCTGGCACTGATGCTTCACTGCCGTAAAATACAACCATGAACAAATAAACTCATGCGGCATTGGCCAAGGCGTAGTACCATCAGCCGGGTCGTCTTACTTACTGCATACAGCAGGGCGGTAAACGAAACCAGGCTGCTGCTGACGCCTCCTTCCTTTTCTCTTTCTTTATCTTCTTTCTTTTTCTCCCCTCTCTTTGAAGGCCCAGCATGTAAGACTGATGACTCCGTTCGTCTTGCATCGGTTTTGCGTACAACATCTGCTCGTCACATGGCCCCGACATCGTCAGATACCTTCAAACCAATCTTCAAGCGTCGACACCCTGCCTATTTGACCGCCTTCGATGTGCGCACCCTAAAGCACGCAGGACAAGCTGCTCTTGCTCTTAAACTGGACTCGCTTGGCATTGATATGTGCTGCGTCTCGGAAACGAGAATTCAAGATGCAAGCACAGTGATTGGGCTAATTGTCCCATCAGTCTCCACTCGCTTCCGGCTACGCCCCCTGGTGATCTAGAAGCTGCTGCAGCGGGTTGTGCAGGGGTTGCTATCATCCTAAGTCACCGTGCGGAAGTACCCTTGCTTGGCTGCATACCTAATGATAGTCGCCTCTGCGCGGTTCGCCCGTGTCATGAATATTCTTTGTGCTCACATTATCGTTTTGTATTAACCATGCTTTCGCCTTCATTATCAGCTTATGTACGTCTATTCTTAGATAAGTAAAGCGCTATTCATTCTTGTTCTCGCGCTCAATCAGAATCGATATTCTATTCGTAACAATTTACTTGTTCAAGAATACAATGGAACCGTTGCTGCGACCCAAGTGTTTCGACGCAGTCCTAATTTTCCAGACGCAACAACGCGTTGGAATCATTGGTTCCGAACCTTCCTAACGTTTCTGGGCACTGTCGAATCGCCCAATCTAAATAAACTCGAAACTCTGATCCATTTTGTGGATGCACCTGTATACGTTTATATCGCTGACTGTCCAGATTACAAATCAGCTATCAGTACACTTGAAAAGTTGTACGTTCGTCCTAAGAATATAATTTATGCTCGCCATCTTCTACAAACTTGCAAACAAGACACCAGTCAAGATGTTGATCAGTTTGTTCAGAGGCTTAAATCCTTGGCCAAAAATTGTGATTTCAAGGCGGTGTCCGCCATTGACCATCAAAACGAAAGTGTACGCGATGCTCTAATCAACGGACTTCAGTCTACTACCATCAGAGAACGACTTCTAGCTCAAAACGAACTCACTCTCGATGAAGCTCATGAATTGGCCAGGTCATTAGAATTGGCCCACAAACAAGCTCAGTCATACTCACATAACCAGGCGATATCATTTTCTGCGGCTGCAGCACCTTTACAGACATCTACAGTTATCCCTTCACACTCAAACTCCCCTGATTCTACACCCTATCTCTCGTCAATCAGTTCTCAGATATGTTACTTTTGTGGTCGTTCCAGACATCCACGGTCAAAGTGCCCCGCAAGAGAAGCAGTTTGTAAATCATGTGGCAAAACAGGCCATTTTCAGCGTGTTTGTCGATCCAAATCTGTAAAGTGTCACTCAAATTGCACAACGGATTCGGCCTTATCTTCCCTGTTGACTGCTGCGGCCCCGAACTGCTTGTCTCGCACGGTGACCAGCATAAAGGTGAACGGGATATCGCTTCAGGCCCTCATAGACACAGGAAGTTCGAGCAGTTACATATCTCCTTTGGTGGTTGGTAAACATGGCTGGAAGGTATATGCTAACAATTCTGTGATTACCATGGCATCTACCTCTCTGACGTGTTCAACTAGAGGCTACTGCTACGCATCCATCGATTACAGGGGCACCGTTTACAAAAAGATCAAACTATTGGTATTACCCAATCTATGTGCTGACCTGCTGCTAGGCCATGACTTCCTTGGTCTACATAACAAAGTTGAAATCACATTCGGTGGGGACCGAGGTCCATTCACCCTCTGCGGTCTACCTGCTGCTGCGGTCGAGTCACCTCCTCTTTTTGCTAACCTCTCACCCGACTGCAAGCCTGTTGCTACAAAATCGCGACGTTATAATCCGGACGATGAACAATTTATCCGCTGTGAAGTTAATCGACTATTGGATGAAGGTATAATCGAACCTTCGAGTTCTCCATGGAGGGCTCAAGTACTGGTCACGAAAAATTCAAACCACAAAAGACGCATGGTAGTGGACTACAGTCAAACCATTAATCGGTTCACATACCTAGACGCGTATCCGTTACCGCGACTGGATAAAATGATCGAAGAAATTTCCCGTCATACTGTCTTTAGCACCTTAGACCTATTGAGTGCTTACCATCAAGTTCCAATCAGTGAGCAAGATAAACCGTATACGGCTTTTGAAGCATGCGGAGAGCTGTTTCAGTTCCGTCGTATTCCTTTCGGTGTAACCAACGGAGTAGCATGTTTTCAACGTACTATTGACCAAATAATCAAGTCTGAGAACCTAAGTAGCACCTACGCTTACATCGACAACGTCACTATTTGTGGGACTACCCAAAGTGAGCATGACCAGAACCTCAAATCTTTCTTTGAAGTAATAAGAAAATATGGAATTACCCTTAACTGTAAGAAAAGCATCATAGCAGCCAAACAAATACGCCTTCTGGGCTACGAAGTCTCTAAAGGAATTATCAAACCAGATCCTGAACGAATGAAACCTATTCGTGAACTCCCTCATCCACATGACGCTAAATCCCAACAACGTGTTGTTGGTATGTTTGCTTATTATTCGCAATGGATACCATGCTTCTCTGACAAAATCAGTGTGCTTGTCAGAAATAAGACTTTCCCCTTACCGGAGCGTGTGCAACAGTCTTTCAAAAATTTAAAGAAGGAGTTAGAGAACGCCATGGTTGTGACAGTCGACTACAACGCACCATTGGTTGTCGAGACTGACGCCTCAGACATAGCCATTGCTGCATCTCTGACTCAGAACGGCCAACCGGTGGCCTTCTTTTCTAGAACACTGACACCGAGCGAAAAGAATCACTCTGCTATTGAGAAGGAGGCATACGCCATCGTTGAATCTATCCGTAAATGGAAGCATTATCTCTTCGGGAAGCACTTCAAGCTTATCACTGACCAGCGGTCAGTTTCCTTTATGTATGGTTCCTCGCAAAAAAGTAAGATAAAAAATGATAAAATTCAGCGATGGAAAATGGAACTTTCCGCTTTTAGCTACGATGTGAGCTACAGACCTGGAAAAGACAATCTGGTTGCTGACACCTTATCGCGTAACCTATGCGCCAATGTGATCGGCAATGATAAATTAAAAGAAATTCACGATTCCTTGTGCCATCCTGGAATCACTCGAATGCACCACTTTGTTCTTTCCAAAAACCTGCCGTTCTCTCTCCAAGATGTCAAGGACATCACCACAAAGTGTACGGTTTGCGCCGCCATCAAACCGCAGTTTTACAAACCACCCCCCGCTACGCTCATCAAAGCGACCCAACCATTTGAACGAATTAGCATCGATTTTAAAGGACCTCTACCTTCTGTTACTCGAAACCGGTATCTCCTTACCATCGTTGACGAGTTTTCTCGTTTTCCGTTTGCCTTTCCCTGCGCAGATACATGTGCGTCTACAGTTATTAAATGTCTGTGTGAGTTATTCTCTTTGTTTGGCATGCCTGCATATGTACATTCGGATCGTGGCTCCTCATTCATATCTGACGAACTGTCCACATTCCTACATGACAGGGGAGTTTGCACCAGCCGAACAACTTCTTATAATCCCCAGGGGAACGGGCAAGTCGAACGCCTCAACGGGACACTCTGGAACGCAATCCAGCTTAGACTCAAGACGAAAGGCCTTCAAATCTGTCACTGGGAGTCGGCTCTATCAGATGCCCTCCACTCTATACGGTCCCTTCTCTGCGTCTCCACGAATGCCACTCCACATGAACGGATGTTCCGGTTTGAATGTCGGTCATCCTGCGGTTTATCTACACCAACTTGGCTCACTGTGCCTCAAAGTATGAGCCCGTCGTTGAGGAAGTCCAACTTATAAATTGCAATCAACATTACGCCCATGTTCGTTTTCCCGGCGGGAAAGAAAGCACTGTATCCGTCCGCCATCTCGCTCCTTGTGTTGATCGCACACATGTCAACGATTTCACGCGTACCTCATCCAGTGAAGACAATGGTGTTCATGCACCCCCTCTATCTGACTTGCACACGCCTCCGCCCAATAATATTGGAGATAATATCGATCATACTTCAGTCTCACCCCCGTGCCCGGGCAATGCACCTGCATCTCCAGATACATATGACCCTCGCATCTCTGATTTAGCCAGGCTCCAGCAGCGTACACGGCCCTACATTTTAAGAAATCGACTAACCTAACCAAATTCATTATTACTCATTAGATTTTTACATGCATCCAATACCTCTCCCCAATTTATCCCTCTACA